TAGATTATATAATACTTTAAATTTAAAGGTATTAAAAAATAAGTATAGAAGGTTATATTAGAATATATAATATATAGATAAACTAAGGTATTATATTATCTTCCTTATAGAAAACTATAACTTTTACTAGTTCCAGTTAGGAATTAGAAATTAATAATATTTAACTATATTATAAAGCTTCTACCTTTAAAAAAACCTATAATTAATAATACTTAGGATAGTATTTTTATAGTAGTTAACTAACTTTTAAAAATAGCTTACTTTATCCTAGTAATAGAAAAAAGCTCTATAGAAGACTTAGCTTATGTATTTTTCTAATATATTTATATAAACTATAGACTGCTAAACGAGATTATCTTAGATAAAGGATTAATATTTATATTAAAATTTTAGCAATTACTTATAGTAAGAATTAGATTAAAATACAGAGCTAGTATAGCTTACTACCTACAGACGGATAGAAAAATAGAATAAATTAATTAAATTATTGAAATATACTTATAATACTACGTTAACTTTAACTAAGATAATTAAGTAGAATACTTACTAACTGCCTAAGTATTCTATAACAGCACGCTAGTAAAATCTATAAACTACTTACCGTTTTATACTAACTACAGGTTTAAACCAGATCTATACTAACCACCTTTTAAAAAAGAAAATACTAGTAAAGCTATTATTATAGCTAATAAACTTAAAAAACTACATTAAAAATTACAAGTATAATTTAAATTTATTAAATAATAAATAGCTAAATTCGCAGATATTAAAAGGATTAAAGGATTAACCTTTAAGGAGGGAGACATAGTCTACCTGCTCCAACACTTATAAAACAATAAACAGCTAAATATTAAAATAAACAGGCTAAGTAATAAGCTTAACTTTAAGAAACTTAAACCTTACAAAGTTATAAAGAAAATCAGACCTATTAATTACAAAATAGATCTTCTACTTACCCTAGAAAAACAAGGAAAAACTATATATCTAAATTTCTACATTTCGCTATTAAAAAAAACACTAGGAAATAAAGAAATAGGTAAAGTTATACAGGACGAAATTATTATTTAAGGTAAAGAACTTAAATACAAAGTTAAGAAGCTTAAAATAATAAAGTTTAATAAAAATACTTAATAAACTAAATACCTAGTAAAATAAAAAGGCTATAATAAAACAGAAAACTTATAGCAACCTATTAAAGACCTTAAATACTTAAAAGACCTTGTAAATAACTTCTACTAAAGCCTAAGTCTAGTAAAAAAGAGTTAAAAGTATCTTAATTAACAGCATTAACCGCGGAACCCGTAATTATAGGATTAGTTAAATTAGGTAATAATATCGCAGCCTAATAAGCAGCCTCCGCTTCCTTATACTTAACCTTATCTAACTCCTCTAAATTATTAATACCCTACGTAACTGCATAAGTTATTTTTTCTAACTACAGATGTTTCTGCTTACGAAGATATTTAATCTTTACATTAACTATTTTACGCTCCTCTTTAGCCTCTTTAAGAGTATTTTCGTATTAAGTATAAAATAAAGTAATCTTTTGGAGTTAAGCTAACGATAACAGACATGCATTATATAAGGATTTATTATCCTTTATATATTTAGTATAATAAGTAAAATCTTCCTTAGATATTTAACACTCTAAAAAACTCTACTTCTTCTTATTAAAATAATATATATAATCTTTTATTCTAATAAAATAAAATAAGATAATTTCTAAAAGAATATTATAACGCTCTATCTTAGGATAAGATTTTTAATAAATACCTAATATAATAATTAATAAAGATATATAAATATAAGGGAAAATAAGGATATTAATGAAAATAGGAGGAAGTAGTTACTTATACTAAATACAGTAAGTGTCACGACCCGGCTCTTAAGGTCGCGACAATAGGCCAACAGGTTGGCCGGAAACGGATTAACTATGGACCGACAGACCAATCAGGACTGACGGCACTCCTTAACCAGGAAAGCTAGGAAAGCTAGCTTTCTAAATAATCCATCGCAGGAAAGCTGGGAAAGCCAGCTTTCTATATGATCTAGGACACACGACTGGATATATAAGTTTACTTTATGTTACTCGTTAGAATACTTAAATAGCCAGTTGTTATTATAGCGTTTATAATACAATCAGATTGGAACTTAGACATCTACTCTTATTCGTATTACTAGCTGGTGATAGGATTACTCGTTTACCGACCTGATTGCTCCGCCAATATAAACCATAGAACTACTCTAAGGTTTGTCCCTTGGGAACAGCTAACCTATAGTGCCTATAGGACCCGGTTCGTTATACGATAACAACTCTTGTTCAGACGGTTACCTTAGACCTACGGGCAATAAGACACCAAGAACTCAGCAGCCTATAAGCTTCAGAGTTCCAGACAACGACATAGATTACGAGAGCGAAGCTCAAAGTAGTTACGACGGCGATATTGAAATCTAGGACAATTTTAAAGAAACTACTGAAGACGTTAAAATAACTCCGTAACCACCTGCTAACTTAGACGAGGCTAATTAGCGTTTTACGGTACTTGAAGAACTCGTGGAACAAATATGTTAAATAATTGATATATAAGCGGCTACTATAGTGACCCTTTAAAGACGACCAATGGTAAACCCCGTGGTAAACCCAGCCCCTGCGGTACGTCAACGGGAACCCGGAGAAATTATTAAACCACTACTGCTAGATAAATTTAAAGGAGATCCTAAGTAAATCCAGAAATTTTTTACAGATATAAGAAACTACTTCAGTTACTTTCCAACCACTATGGCTGACGACGTTATAAAAATTCAAACTGTAGGAACCTGTTTGGCTAAAACCGCTAAGGACTGGTTTAAACTACACCTTAGGGACTTTAAATAAACTAAGACACCTAAGAAACAATACACAATCAACTTATTCAACAGTTACGCCATGTTCGAAAAACAACTTAAGAAACTATATGGAAAAACTAATAAGTCTAAAGAAGCTGAAGATACACTCTTTTAAATTAAGCAAAAAGGACCCTATATAAAGTACACTGCCGCTTTTATATATCTAGCTGCTAGGACTAACTTAAATAATGAAGTATAATATATGCTCTACTACTAGGGACTTAACTTAGATATTAAGGATAAACTCTCCAGAGATAAAAAACCTAACACCCTTAATAAACTTGCGGAAAAAGCCACTTGTATTAATAAACAACAGTTTTAGCGACGCCAGGAATACAAGAGAGAGGGAAATCCCCAGAAGACAGTCCCGAAGTATCTTTACTCCGGTAATAACGCTAACTAGGGAAAGAAAAGGGACCTTACGACCTATAACGATGGAAAGCTAGGACCTATAGACCTTAGTACTATCGAGGCACAACGTAAAAATGTTAAATGTTATAATTGCGGGAAGAAAGGATACGTAAAGAAATACTACCGAGCTCCTAAAAAAAACAGTAATAAGAAATTCACACCTGTCCCAGAGCCCAAGGAAAACCAAGCTATTAATACTATACGACCCTCGGAAGACTATAATATCCTACACTTCTTAGCGTACTACGATAATAACTATTAGACCTATCGCAGTAATAAATAAGGATCGGGATAGTACCCTAAAGGGCGTACATAAACCTTAAACACGTTTGAAGAAGTTACCTAGGAGGACCTTAGCTACGTTAAATAACTCGTTTAATAAAACCTCGACGAGTAAGAATAAAACGATAAATTTAAGGATAAGGAAGAGGTACTCCGAGAATGGAAATAAAATAAAGCTATACGCTAGTATAACAAGGATCTTCCAGATATAGCGCCTCCGACGTAATATAACCCTTGCGAAGGAATAACTTAGGAGGAAATTAATAACCTTAAAAAACATACGTACGACCAATATAGGTTAGTAAAACCTAAAAGCATCTACTACCCCTGTAAAATGACTACAGCGGACTGGGAATAATACGAAGACTAATACGGAATACAAAGTATTATTAAAGAAAATAAACGCTACGATGAAATTGTATAACAGAAGGAACTCAAGGACTACTAGAAACTCCTCGAACAATGGGGACAGATCAAACAGATTAATCTAAGTACCGCCTACGACCAGATCCAATTGCCCGGAAATCAGTTTCAACAATATATTAAGACTAATGCAGACGAATACCCAATAGCTAAGACACTAGAATCGATCCTATACTACATCAACGACATCTGGCTCACAGACCAATGTAATAAAGCTAACATTATTAACTGTAAGCTACTACTATGTAAATAATACGTTATAACTAAGCTTAACGAATAGCACGAGGATCACGGAGCCGCTGAATGTAGATAAAAGGAATTCACGCTCTGCAACAAAGATCGTTGTAAAAAACACTAGTACTAACGCCGAGCCCTTGCATACGTTACCTATAAACTAGAACAATAAGGATTTAACCTTATAAAGCATAGCAACGACGACGAACTATAAGGAATTAATTAGAATAACCTTCGAAAGTACTATAAGCTTACCGCTAGATACGTACCTAAGCCTGGATGTACCTGGTGCGAACGCTATAATATTCGAAATAAAGAACCAGGATGGATTACCTTAGACCTAGACGATATTGATATTAACCCTTACGGTAATAATTATTACGACGGCGCCGATGATGCGACCTACTACAACCTGAATACCCTTACAGGAGGAAAGAAACTACGAAAATTCTAAGTACTAGGTACCTTGGAAGGATATCCAATTATAATCTATATAGACTCCGGAGCTACGATAAGCTATATTGCGCCTTAACTGGTTAACTGCCTATAGTTGGATAATCGTAAGAAGGAGAAACTATATACCCTTGTAAGTATTAAGAAATAATAATTTACTTATAATAACGGAACTGTTAACCGCAAGACTAATCTCCTTGAGATCCGGTTTAGTAAAATTAAAAATATATTTAGTTTTGATATTGTAAATATTATAGAATATAATATACTCTTAGGATACGATTAGCTTAAGTTGCGCAACCCCGACATTAATTAAATTAGAGGCCAGGTAAGATAGCGAACTCGCCCTAAACTAATTAATTTCAGAGATACACTGTAACTAGATTAGGAGGATCGACAGGATACCACGATATCCCCGACGATAGGATCGGAGACCCCTATATTAAATAAAGAAATACAAAAACATACGGAAAAGAAAAAAGTTATAAAACAAGTACGACTTAAGGAGCCAAAGAAACTCCTAAGAATAATCAAATATGTTAAGAAACCTAAAAAAAAACAGCTTAGATTTCTAAACTTGATTATACAAAAGGTCAAGGAATTATACCACCGAGACCAACAGACACCGGAACGTTTAAAGAACGTACTAACAGACCTCCAGTATATACCAGTCTTTAACAAAGAACTTAACACCGGACTACCAGAATACAGCCAATAGGATCATAAGATTAAGCTTATAGACGACAAAGTCCCAACGTTCAACAAGATCTATAACCTTAGCGCCACCGAACTTAGGATACTTGATAAATGGATTAGAGACTAGCTGAAGAAGGGCTATATCTAACCTTCTAAATCCTCAGCAGGAGCCCCAGTTATATTTATGCCTAAGAAAAACGGTAAACTTCGACTTATTATAGATTACCGATAATTAAACGTAATAACTAAGAAAGATATTACGCTGTTACTACTGATTTCGGAAATCAGAGATTGGCTTACAGGAGCTAAGGTCTTTACTTCATTAGACCTTAAAGGAGCCTATAACCTCATTCGCATAAAGAAAGGCGACGAATAGAAAACCGCCTTCAGAACCAGATACGGATTATATAAATGCAATATAATGTAGTTTAGATTAACTAACGCCCCTGCGACATTCTAGAAAATAATCAACTACGTATTATAAAACTACGTAGATTATTTTGTCATTATATACCTCGACAATATCCTTATCTATTCTAAGAACTTAGAAGAACATAAGGAATACGTTAAGAAGGTATTATAAACACTCTAAGATAATAAACTCCTGGTGGAACCTGAGAAATGTAACTTCTATATACAGAAGGTTACATTTTTAGGATATATTATTACCCCAGGCAGAGTCCAGATAGACCTTAAGAAACTTAAAGCAATTAACGATTAAGAACTACTACAAAACATTAAATAAGTACAAAGCTTCTTAGGACTTGCCAATTACTATTGACGTTTTATTAAGGACTTTTTAAAAATCGCCACGCTACTTACAGACTTAATAAAAAAAGACGTTAAATTTGAATTAACATAAGATACTTTAACAGCCTTTAAACGCCTTAAACAAGCTCTCACAAGTGCACTAGTACTTATAATGTTTAACCTAAATAAACCTATTACAATTAAAACTGACGCCTCGGATTATACAATCGGTGGAGTACTCAGCCAACCGGATGAAAAAGGGAAACTTAGGCCTATTGCCTACTTCTCTGAGAAACTACATAGACTAGAACTTAGATATCCTATCTATAATAAGGAGTTCATGGCTATATACCAAGCGCTTAGCAAGCAGTATTAGAGACACTACTGTAAAGGAAGTCGATTTCCAGTAACAATCCTTACGGATTACCGGAATATTACTTACTTTATAACGATATAAGAATTATCCCGCAGATAAGTTAAGTACTACGAGCGACTTTCCGAATTTAAGCTTATTATTAAACACTGCAATAGATTAGACAACGGACGCGCTAATATACTTAGTAGACGCCTAGACTACTTCTAAGAAATCCCGGAAGTTAAGGTATAAATACTAAAAGAAAACTAGTATAAAGACCTAGTTATCTAATCGATCGACACCTTGTACTAAATCGAGATAGACAATCTAATTATTAACGATATAAAGGAACACGTAAAAAACTAGGAAAATAAATAATACTCAGAAGGTGTTTCTATAGATACTGGATACCTGACACTAGATGGACTTATCTAGGTACTAGAAGACTTGCAAAGCAAAGTGGTAAAATCAGTTTATGTATATAAACTTAACGGACACCGTGGAATCCGAAAAACTATATAGCAGATTACATAATACTTTAAATTCGAAGGTATTAAAAAATAGGTACAGAAGGTTGTATTAGAATACATAATATACGGACGAGCTAAGGTATTACGCTATCTTCCTTACGGAAAACTGTAACCCTTACCGGTTTTAGTCAGAAATTGGGAATTAATAACATTCGACTACATCGTGAAGCTTCCACCTTCAAAAGAACCTATAACCAATAATACTTAGGATAGCATCTTTATAGTAGTCAACTGACTTTCGAAAATAGCTTACTTTATCCTAATAAAGGAATAAAGCTCTGCAGAAGACTTAGCTTATGTATTTTTCCAATACATCTATGCAAACTATAGACTACTAAACGAGATTATCTCGGACAGAGGATTAACGTTTATGTCAAAATTCTGGCAATCACTTATAGTACGAATCGGATTAAAATACAAAGCCAGCATAGCTTACCACCCCCAGACGGATGGACAAACAGAATAAATTAACTAAATTATTAAAACATACTTACAGTGCTACGTTAACTTTAACTAAGACAATTAGGTAGAATACTTACCAACCGCCTAAGCATCTTATAACAGTACGCCAGTAGAATCTACGAACTACTTACCGTTTTACGCAAACTACGGGTTTAAACTAGATCTACATTAACTACCTATTAAAGGAGAAAATACCAGCAAAGCTATTATTATAGCTAATAAACTTAAGGAACTGCACTAAGAATTACAAGTATAACTCGAATTCGTCAGAGAAAGAATAGCTAAATTCGTAGACACTAGAAGGATTAGAGGACCAACCTTTAAGGAGGGAGACATAGTCTACCTGCTCCGACACTTGCGAAACAATAAGCAGCTAAACATTAAGACAAACAGGCTAAGCAACAAACTCGATTTTAAGAAACTTAGACCTTACAAAGTTACGAAGAAAATCAGACTTATTAATTATGAAATAGATCTTCTACTCGCCCCAGGGAAACGAGGAAGAACTATGTATCCGAATTTTCACATTTTGCTATTAGAAAAAGCACTAGTAGACGAAGAAATAAGCGAAGTTATATGGGACGAAATTATTATTTAAGGCGAAGAACTTGAATACGAGGTTGAGAAACTTAAAATAATAAGATTTAACGAAGATACCTAATAAACTAAATACCTGGTGAAATGGAAAGGCTATAATGAAACAGAAAAATCATGGCAAACTATTGAGGACCTTGAATACTCGAAAGACCTTATGAATGACTTCCACCGAAGTCTAGGTCTAGTAAAGAAGGGTTAAAAGCGTCTTAATTAACAGCGTTAACCGCGGAACTCGCAGTTATGGGATTAATTGGATTAGGTAATAATATTGCAGCCTGATGAGCGGCCTCCGCCCTCTAAGCCCCTCGTTCCTCTCGCTCCTCTCGCTTAATATGCTCCAATTCCTCCAAGTTATTGATACCACGAGCAATAGCCCGCTCCATCCGCTTTAACTACTTACGTTTCTGAGTACGAAGACGTTTTACTCGGGCACCAGCCTTAAGCTACGCCTCTTCCGCTTTTTCCAGCTCTTTATTTAAT